GGCGTGGAAGAAAAGAAAAGAAGAAATGGGGTCAAATTGAAAATTTTAAAATATATAAAATTCGAATTTGGCCCTAATGACCGGAAGTTAACCTAGAAACGGGCTAATGACTCATTAGTGAAAGGATTGTGTAAGTTCAGGGATTTTTGTGAAAGGATTTGAAGTTCAGGTACTACTTCGAAATTCCAGCTAAAGTTAAGGTACCATTTGTGAAATTTACCCTAAAAATGTAGATGATCGAAGGGGAAATGTATTGTATTACATGAAGTAAACAACCACACAAGTATATTTAATTTAACACACATTTACCGTTTGATCAATATCAAGAATTGAAAAGCTAACTTCGTCTAATGGTGCCGGGGCACACTCATTATGATTCTTGCCATCCAGATTGAATTTGTGCGCAAAATTAGTTCCCACAACCTCTTAACATTTGAGCATCAATTACTTGTACCTGTTTAAAAATAGTTAGAACATGTTGGATTTTAGTAGAAAGGTTCATAGGACCGTCAACATCTATGTTATCGTGTAGGTGTGGAGAAAGCATCAGGAACGTTAACATCTGAAAGAGTAACATCTCACACCTTAACATCATGTATAGGATCTGGGGTCACAACAGGAGTCACAACATTAGAGACCATACCTTCACCTGATATTTTTACCATTAGAAGTATTATCGCCATAGTCACTTCTTTATCAAAATATACAACAGGGCTAGAAACTTGTAGTATTGTAGAACCGTGTACAGAGATGTAATTAGTAGTAGGCAAAACAGAGTTCAGACTATTAGCAATAACATAGCTCTTAAAAACAAAATTCAGCATAGATTTAGCCTCAATTGAAGGATAAAAAGCGCGCACACACACACATTATCCCCAAAGAAGTACTTACTCATATAAGTTATCACCATGTTTTAACAGAAAACACTGGCAGCATCCCGGAACATATAAGGTCATACTCAGTGTTTGGCAGCAACCTGGAACAACAAAAAATGCATTGTATTGAATAAAATAAAATAATCAAATTATTACTACATGTGCATTCTGTTTAGCATAATTAAAAAAATTGCGAGACTTTTTTACTTTTAAATAGAAAAGTATGATTTTAATATATACTCAAGAGTAATAAATAATAAATCAAGTAAACATTCATGGCTCAACTGTGGAACAAAAACAAAAAACAAATTGTAAAATCGGGCCTTAAAGATTATGGTGAATAAGATTAAGAAGATAAGTTTATTACATAATTTTGAACTCTAGAATGTTGAAAATAGGAAAACATTAATACATGAGCACTTCAATGAGCCAAGAGTAAAGCAAACACTGTTTTTTTTATTCTGAGTTCACTGTGGGAGAAAATAGTCTCAAAAGATACTGAGTGTTAAGACAATGGAAAGGCACTGATTGAACCTATTGTGTTTACTGAACCAACTTATTGACACAGCTGTGCAAAAGAGTTGATTTGTTCAACACTGGAAATACATTGTTTGGTTAAAAGAAACTTGGAACACACAGATCATCGATTAATCAAACACATAGAACACTCGCCAAGAAATACTCAGAAACAATGGTTTCAAAGAATTTTGAAACATGGGATATAATGTCATTAGTTCATTAAATAAAATAAACTCGTAGAAAAGGATTTACTTACGTGTTCATCCATGAATATTATCTCGATTGAATTTGCCACCTTGTCATCATTGTACACTGGCAACGTATACAGTCGCATCACACGAATCAAAACACTCCAACATTCAATGGTCGGATTGATCTTCTATAAAGGGTGAATGGTTTTGGAAGACTATTCACTTTCACAGCGTGAACTCTATCCGAATTCGTAAAAACCTATAGAATAATCAATCGCAAAATATCCCCACCCATTTCAATTCAATTCAATCAATATTCAGAGAAATAATTGTAGCAATTGACTTGCAATTTTGTGTTGATGGATTGTAAGCAACAGTTTTCTCAAATCAGAGTCTGGTTCAATAAAATTCTAAGGTAATCTCCCGTGGACGAAACTATCTAAAAAATGCAAATTCATAACAATAAATTTGACATTTCATTTCTAAAAAAAAACTGCAATTATTAATCAAAAAAATAATGCAAAAAAATTATATGGAACAAACTCATGATGAATAAAATATAATTTACCCAACTCAAAATTATTTAATACATGCACTTGTTCTTATATTCAGCAACTTCATCAAATCTAATTAGGAAGAAAGAATATTGCTATTAATCGAATATAAATTAGGTATATGATTTCTCAAATCTAATTAGGGTATACGAATATAAATTAGGTATGAATCATGATTTTAATTTTTTCAATTAATTGAAGAAAGCATATTGGTATTAATCAACCCTAATTTCCGATAAAAATTAGGGAAAAATTGGGGTAGACGAAGAAGAATGGAAAGGCGTATCGAAGTACCTGGATTTCTTTCCTTCCGTGATCCAACGCAGCGAGGAATCAGGGTTGAATCATATTAGTTTCCTTTCAGCGTGAAGTTGTGCAGCAAATTTCTTTCCTTCCGCGCGAAGAAGATGGTCGAGAGAAAGAATGGGTATTGGAAGCAGCTTCAGCCTATAATTGGACGCTTTAGGAGCCTTAAGTTGCCACGTGTCAAAATTCTAAGCCTCAACTTCCAAAGTTTTTTAAAGGATTATTATTACTATTCTATCACGCGTTATATTTTTTTATTATATATGGTATGAGAACTTATAAGGTATGAAATTACCTTATTAATATTTTTTTTGAAAAACTTTATTAATAATTAATAATTAAAGTTCACATTATACCTTTTTTATTAAACAGTACCAAAACTTGTAAGGTATGAAATTATCTTATTAATAATTAATAATTAATTTTATAGTTTATAATTTTGGTAAAAAATATAAGGTTTGAGAATACATTTTTTCTAAACCAAGTCAACACTTTCATTTATTTTATACATGGTAATAGCACAAAAATAACTTACCTTTATTATTATTATTATTATTATTATTATTATTATTATTATTGTTATATGATACCATATTATTACGATATTATTATTATTCTTTCATATGTTACCTTTTTTTATTACGGTACCAAAATTTATAAGGTATGAAATTACCTTACTATTAATTAATAATTAATTAAAGTTTCACATATTACCTTTTTTATTATACAGGATACCAATAATAATTATTATGTTTATTATTATTATTATTATTATTATTATTATTACACGGTATCATATTAATATTAAAATTTGACATGTTATCTTTTCTATTATTATTATTACACGGTACTATAACAATTAATAATTATTAATAACTATGAAAGAAAAGTGAGAGAGTAAATAATAATGAGATTACCTTATACACGACACTTATCATTTCAAGTTTTAGCACTTACCTTTTGTGACTGAAACGTTTAGGCGTGAGAATGCAATGGAGAATTCTCTTTTTTTTAAAAAAAAAAGAAAAACCTCTAAATATGAATAAAACATAGATCATATCATCAAATTAGGAGTTCAAACTTAAACTCCTTTAAATAGGAGTAATTAATTAAATATGTGCTTTGATTACAGTAAAGAGTAGCGGCGGCTCATTTTCGAACTAAATAGCCTCTCATCAGAGCTTGTAGTATTACTAATCCTTTTAAAGCTCTTAGCGCTCTCCTCGCGTGCACCAAAGCTAGGAACTAGCTGGGAACTTAGAATATACTCTGGGGTAAAACTATTTTGGAACTAACCAATTAAATTTAGAGTAGATTTCATAATTAGTCTTTTATAACAGTGAGGTTTCCCTATTTAGTCCTCTATTATACAATATTACCCCAGTGGTTCTTCTTTTATAGGTATCCTTCCACAAATAGTCCTTTTTTGATCTTCTATCATGTTGGTGTTAATTTGAGGGCTAAAAGAGTAATTTAACAATGACAATGTATCTTTTTTGTCATACACAATTCCAAAGACTGTTCAGTTTGCGTCGCTTGTGAATTACAGTCGCTTTCCACTACAAACATAGTCTACAAATGTGGTCTTTCGTCGAAATCCTAGCCCACAATTATAGTCATTATTTTTGTGTTATCCATTTAACCAATATCAGAACACGTCACTAGACATAATGTTGATGTCAAATTATACTTTTAACCTTTAAATTAACACGAACATGACAGAAGATCAAAAAAGGACCATTTGTGGAAAGACACCCTTAAAAAAGGACTACGGGGGTAATATTTGATAATAGAGGACTAAATATGGAAACCTCTCTGTTATAAAGAACCAATTATGGAATTTACTCTTAAATTTATATAATAATTATACTTTTTCATAATTTATGATAAAAAAGTGTCACTGTTTAACTAAAAAATCAAAACATGAAGAAATCTATACGAAACGAATATAAAACATTATTCATCCATTTTTTAAAACACTTCCTTCCTAATTCTTTTTATTGAAATTGCACTAATTAAATAGGACTAAAAATGCAGAAAAAAGTACCAAAATATAAGTTTCATGTTTTTATTTCTGAAATAGGACTTCACACTATGGTAATGTGGTTGTAATGCAGCACTCTACATGTGCATATTAGAATACTTTTTGGTAATGTACATGACCATGTTTGGTAATGTAAATGCAGTTTAAATCCTATTCGGGAATAAAAACATGGAAATCCTATTTTGGTATGTTTTAAATGTTTTACTCCTACTCTAATTTTTTTCCTTTTATATTTAATTCGACATAAGTGGTTACATTCAATTTTAAATCTCTAAAAATTTACTTGTTAGGGAATTACTTCGTAAAATTGGTACTAATTCTTTCAGCCATGGATAAGTTTGAATTCAATTTTATGTTCAATTTGAAATAAGAGGTGACATTGAATTTTAACCGTGAATTTACTTCTTAGGGGGAATTTTTTTGTAAAATTGGTATTGAAACTGAATTATTAAGGTGTTGAAAATAGTAGAGTTTCTTGACATTTACCCCTCTTTAACATTATGCATTAACATCTGTGATATATACTACCTCCGTCCCGTTATATTCGTCCATTTTTTACTTTTGAAACTGTTCATCTAAGCACTTTGACTCATCAAATTCTCTCAATGTGTAAGCCTAAATATAGTCATGTGTGATCTTGATTGATTTGTCTTAACATATAGATTATTAATATATAATTTCTATAATTTTTTAATATATAAATTAGAAGATAAAATGGATTAAAGAAGTGCATTGGATGGTGTGCAAAAATGAAAGTGGACAAATATAGTGGGACGGAGGGATGTAACATTATACATTGAAGAAATCACCCTACGTAGCACTCTAAGTCACTCAATATTACGCATATAGCACTCCTTAATCTTTTATACGAATTTAGCTATTTTTAGTGCCAATATCTTTCAAGCATACCCTATACCTTTTATTATATTCTACTATTTTTAATTACTTTTAATTATTTGATTAAACTTATATTCACATAGTCACTCCTCATACGCGTGGCTCCTCCTCATTCGTGCGTCTCATACGTGCGAGAACATCATCCTACGCCATTTACCATAACTCTACGAGATCCTCCTTCTACGCAGTTTAACAATGTATGATGCCTAAACATACAAGTTCGTACCTACTAAATTAAGTTTCATATTTAAGGCCCATGTTTGACCAGTGTGTTTTGGTGTAATATAATAGATTATTCATGAAATCAGTCATACATTTTTGGGCAGTGTGGAATTCATATACAAAAACAGTCATACACATTTTTCGCAGTGTGGAATTCACACATAAAAAGAGTTATACACTTTTTGGGCAGTGTGGAATTCATAATGAAAATAGTCATACATTTTTTGATAATGTATAATTTATACATGAAAACATTGTCACATAAATCAATGGACATTATACTCTAACATGAAATTAATGAACACAATAATACACTTCCACACTGCCATAAGATATAACAACATATATTCATTCTATATTGCCACATTAAATACTCACATATAAAAACCACACTGCCCACTACAGAGTTATAAGTGAACAATCACATTGCCCAAAACAATCATTTTTTGGTTGTGTGTAATGAATATTTGTTGTTTAATTAAAGGACAAAATCGGAATTATAGATACAATTTTGCATTTCGCAAAATGAAGTAAAATATCAAATTTTTTCAATTAATTTTATTAAAATATTGGTCTAAAAATAAAATTTTAAACTACGTAAAAAAAAATTCAAAAAAGTGTCAGGAATATTTTATTTTATCAAATAATCAATGAAAATGTGTAAATTAAAGGATATAAATTGTATGCCTGAAGCAAATCTTATAAACAAAAGGGGAACAACGGGAGCCGACCAGACGGATGGAGAGATACAAACCAAAAACAGACAAAAGAACGACCGGAGCGGCAGCCCATCTCGTCACTAGTTCCATCTGGTGGTTGGGGGGATCGGGAACTGACTGTTTCGCAACAGTCCGTGTCAACCATTTAACCATCTCTCTACGAGTGGTGTTTTCCACAAAAGATAATATAGATATAGGCTTTGTTTGGTAACAGCGTTTTCGATTAGCGTTAGCGTTTTGAATAAAATTTTAACAATGCAGATTAATTCTGAAAACGCTAAAAACTACCGTTGGATAGCTTTTTCAAAACGCTAAACCTAATCTCTGACGCTGATGCCAAACGGGGCCATTCACGTTAAAGGGGTAAAAGAAACAGAACCAAATGGGAAATTGGCCAATTCAAGTACGTGCATACTTAATATAGAAAGGGTAAAGTGAAATACTCCTTTTCACCCCACTGCATTTTGAACCAAAGAAGTCCAATTCCCACACGATGCTGCAGAAAAAGGAAAATTTTATTTGTAGGTAAAGAATATGGGGAATATGTGGAATCACTGCCTCGGACAACTATGGAGCCACGGAAGAGATATTCACTAAAACATAATGACTTTCTCTAAATAGCACTATATGTGATTTTTTTCCCAATGTAGTATTTTTAGTCATTATTCATTAGTCATTATTCAAGTAAATATTTGTCATCACTAGTCATTATAAACATTATTTAATGCTATTTAAGAAATAAAACAATTTAAGTGCAATATTAACATCCAATTGATGAACCTCCTAAGACCTGGCAACAACAACAGATAAAAGAATACGCACCGTAGTTAATTTTGCAACAGGAGCAAAAGTATCAGTATAATCAGTCCCAAACTCCTGATGATTACCCAAGACGACCAACCGTGCTTTGTCTCGTTCCTTAGTTCCATCGGAACGAAACTTGGTGCGATACACCCACTGACACCCCAAAGCACGGCGAAACGGAGGAAGATCAGTAATGTCCCACATATGATTACGCTCCAAAGCCAACAACTCCTTGGCCATGGCCTCACGCCAAGATGGGTACTGGACTGCTTCCCGAAAAGTTTTAGGTTCGGTGTTCTTCGTCATAGCTCCAAGAAACGCACTGTACCTGTCATGCAATCTATCATAATGAACAAAATTAATAATAGGGAACCGCGTACCGGAGACGGGAGATGCAACGGGGGGAAGAGGAGCGGGAGGACACGCAAGAGCCGTATGACAAACATAATCGGAGAGAAGATGGGGGGGTTGACGAACACGGGAAGATTGACGGAGAGGAGGGGCTGCAGCAGTGGGCGCTGCTCCAGCCGCCTCTGTCGACGGGACTGGCACAGCAGCTTGCTGTTCGCCACTGCCAGGCTGGGAAGACGGGGTGGCAGTAGGTGAGGCAGTAGGCTGGGACGCAGAGGGCTGGGAAGATGGTGACAGTGTGGGATCGGCAGTGGGAAGGGTAGGGAAATCGGCCATGGGCAGTGGAGATGAGTGGGAAGAGGAAGACGTAAAATCCTGCGGTAACGAAAAGGGAAAGACGGACTCATCAAAGACGACATCGCGGGAATGGAAAAATTGATGGGTTTCCAAGTTATACACCTGCCAGCCCTTAGTTCCAAACAGGTAACCGACAAACACACACCGGACCCTACGAGGTGCAAATTTATTGGGAAGTTTTTGACGAACGTAACAGAGACACCCAAAGACGCGAAGGTGAGTAAGAGTGCTTGGCTTGGAGGTGAATTTCAAGAGGAGACTTGCCATTTAAAAGAGGGGTAGGGAGACGATTTATGAGATACACCGCAGTTTTAACACACTCGCCCCAAAACTCCAAAGGAAGAGAGGCCTGAAACATGAGAGCACGTGCCACATTTAGGATATGCCGATGTTTGCGCTCGACACGGCCATTTTGTTGCGGTGTACCTACACAAGAAGTTTGGATTTGAACTCCCATTTGATCATAATATTCACGAAGAGGTTTGTTGACAAATTCAGTACCATTATCAGAACGGACAATTTTTATTGTTTTGCCGTATTGAGTGTGAATCATAGCAAAGAATCGTTTAAGACATGAAGTGACCTCACTTTTGACTTTAAGGAGATAAGCCCAAACAGCACGAGAATGATCATAAACAATGGTTAAAAAATAATGTGCTCCAGTAACCAAACACATAGAATAGGGACCCCAAATATCACAATTAATTAAATCGAAAATAGCAGCAGCATTATTAGTGCTAGTAGGAAACGAAGAACGAGTTTGTTTGGACATAAAACAAATATCATAGGTTTCCAACTTCCTAAGTTGAGAAGTGGAATTATTGGGACTAACAAGAGTAGACAGTTTAGAGGAAGGGTTACCCAAACGCTTATGAAGTAAAAGGGGATCAACGGCAGACGTATGAACTTGAGCCAAAGAACCGCAAAAGACGTAAACTCTGTTACTTAATTCACCCCGTCCAATCTCTGTTTTCGACAAACGGTCCTGTATTACACAAAAAAGTTCATTAAAGATCACATGACAAGTAGTATCACGTATAAGACAACCAACGGAAATCAAATGGCAATTTAAATTGGGCACCAACAAAACACCAGATAGCACAAGAGTGGGGGAAAGCTGAACCCGCCCTTGTTGACAAGCATATACCCGAGAACCATCGGGTAGAGTTATCCCGCAAGGGGAAATCTCAGTAACATCAAACATGTGGGTTTGATCACCGCTCATATGGTGGGATGCTCCACTATCAATCAACCATTGATTTTTAACAGAAGACATACCAGTGTATTGCTGAGAAGCGGAGGACTCAAGCAAAGACATAAGCTTAGCCATTTGATCACTCAAAGTAGTGGAGGAATCGGTGTTGACGGCATGGGCACTGCCGTGGGGGTACTGCCGTGGGAAGCACTGCCATCCAGTCTGCCATGGGAGGTGCTGCCAGGACGGGCAGGCCCCCTGCTGCCTTCTCGACCACTGGAAGAAAAACCACGGCCTCCCGATGTTCGACCTCCTCATGCACGTTGTATACCACTACGTCCTCCACCACGACCATATTGTTCCGAGAAACCAATAAGTTCAAAACAAGTGTCAATGGTGTGGTTGGTGCGCCCACAGTGAGAGCACGAGAGGTTACCAGGGGAATGCCGAACCGCAAAAGCAACGCCATCTGTACGGTCGTCACGAGAACGGATAATAGTACGGTGACGTTCCTCTTGAGTGACAAGATAAAAAGCTCGATCCAAATCTGGGATGGGTTCGGTGCCAAGGATCTGGGAATGTGCATGCCTGTACTGTTCATCGTCCAGTCCTAACAAAAAATCCATAGTCTTTTCACGCTCGACCCGAGCATGGCAAACCGCCGCGGCTGGACACACACATCCTCTGGTTGGATCTTCACACCCATAAAGTTGATTCCAAAGAGTGATGAACTGATTATAATATGCCACAACACTCTAACCTTTTTGACGCAAATTATGTAGTTCACACTTTAATTGATACATGCGAGGGCCGTTGGAACCACCGTACCGTTTCTTGAGGTCATTCCACAAATCATAAGCAATCATATGGCTGATAATACTTTGTTGAATAGATTCATCGACACTATTGCAAAGCCAACTACAAATGATGGAATGGTTGGACTCCCACGCGCCCAGTTCGGCCTCATCAGTGGGTTTAGGAACACCTGTGGCTGTCAAAAACTTTGCTTTTCCACGGGCACCGAGTGCATGCAAAACTGCCTTCTTCCATACATCGTAATTATCACTATGTAATACATATTTTGTGAGAGAATTACTAGGCCCCTCGGATGGATGTAGGTAGTAGATTGAAGATGGATCGTGAATCAAGTTGGCTTTCTTTGTTGTCATGTTGATGGTGAAAACGCAGACCACACACAAAACAGCTACGGCACAAGGGAAACGCAGACCACACACACAAAAACAGCAGCAACCAAACAGGAGGACAAGGAAAAAGCTTCGGCACAAGAGACAATACCAAGCAGTAGCGAATTGCATTGTGGACGGACTTACACCAACAAAAGGAACTGACTTTTCCGGCGAGATCATTGCACGGAGATGAACGTACCACACACGAGATAACTTTTCCCTGCTGATAATTACATCCCAAGTGTGTATAAATACATGTACAATGGGTCAAGGCCCAATAACCAATGTGGGCTAATACTAACATTAAATAATAATAATACATCGATTAATACAATTACTCCAATAACAAGAGAACCTTCTAATGTATTGATTTGTCTACTTACGAATGACTTGACAACAAACTCGGTTTGCGTCTATCTCCACGGCTTGTTACACCTCAAAGATGTTCTTCAAGGACGTAGATTCCAGTGCACCTTCAAACAAAGATTCTTCTTGATCTACAAAAATACTCACGCTGATCCAAAGCTCATAAATCGACATTCAATCATTGGAATTCGATCTTCACCGTTCAGATTGAAGCTCCACAAGTCCTTAGACTCCTCCTAAAATTTCAGCATGATCAGAAGAGATTTGGTACTCCAACCATCGACAAAACTAGAACTGCGTTTTCTGCAAAAACCAAAGACAATATGTAGATTGTAACTTCGATAACAGAAGATCCGTAACTCCGATTGACGTGAAAATTGACCACGCTGAATCCCTAAGTGTTGGGAACACTCTCTGGAAATTTCAGTAAAATCCAACAGTCAGATCTTTAGCGATGATCAAATTCGTGCAGGCTTTACTGAAAAATTTGTACTGTCAAAATCTGCACCTTCTTGTTTTTCTTTCGATCGGATTTGCTTATGTTTTTACCATATTTTTGCACTATGAAACCATAAGGGGGGGAGAAGATACTATATGAAATATAATAACCCTGTTAGAGTGTACTTAGGAGTCTCAACCATGGCTTCCTCCTCAAGAATAGTAAACCAAGTAGGATTATAATTATCTCTTCAAGATCTTTCCTCTTTCTCTTTCTTCACATGCTAGGATTCTAAGTCTAAATAAAACATCTAAAATAATTCTATGCAGGTCTATTTGTTTGTCAAAAAATACAACAACAACAACAACCGAGTTAAACCCCACAAGAGTAGGGTCTGGGGAGGGTGTATGTACACAGATCATACCCCTACGCGAAAGCAGAGAGGCTGTTTCCAAAGAGACCCCTGGCTCAACGTCGAAAGTTGTATTACTTGACTAACAGCTACTTCATTAATTAAAAAAGCGCAGGCAGTTTAGAGATCCATTTTGATTTATTCCATCACACTCCAAAGCCAAAAAATGGTGAAATTTTGGCTCCATTGGAGATGATGGAACTAACAATCTCCCCCTTTGGAAATTATTTGACAAAAACAAATCTTAGTTGTTTTGAACCTCTTCTCCCCCTTTTTTGCATAAAAATGCCTAACATTTAATTAAGAATATTGGGTCAAAAAGAGAAGAGTAACATTCAAGCGAGCTTGAGCATTACAACAATGAATATCAAAATAGACCTAGACTTTGTCACATCAACCTGTGCCATACTTGAGCGAATCCCCCTCGGACGATCCATCTGAAAAAGTAATTATCTGCAAAAATAAAAAGACATGTATACAACCAGAAAAAACATTCATGCTCTAAGGTTTTCCAGGCTGGTGATGAAACACTTCTTAGAGTATCTTCTAAATCAGGTAGAGATGGGTGTGCACAGACCCAAGCAGGATCTGAGTATACCAAAACGATTCCCATAAAATGTTCTTTTACACATGCCCAATGCCCCTTTTTCATAGCCATAAACTTCACACTCTCATGACTAGGAGGTGTCACTTCATCACACTTATGAGATGATTCAGCACTCTTAACAGCACAACAATCTATTTTCTTTTCTCCTTGATGCAAGCTTGCACTACCAACATGGAATTTATCAGGAGCAACATCCTTCACACAAATATTATCACCTGTTTTGTTCTAATTCTTAGGTACCCAAATCATCCTTGTTGTCACATTCTTTTTTTGTATCTTTGCTCTTTAAAAATCTTGCATTTCCTTTAAATGTGTCCCCTTTTTCCACAGCAAAAACAAACATAATTAGCATAGACATTGTTGCCTTTTTACATAGGGTACTGTATAAGATGTTCTAGCAGAAGCTACATGAGATGCTTTATCGGGTCTGGCAGAAGATGTTCCAGCAAATTTGGCAGCTTCTAGTTTCCTTCTTTGTGGGGCCTTTTGGGAAACTTCCTTTCTTTGATCAATAAACAAGTCAAGTGGGGTCTTGTTTCTTTCGGAACCTACAAAACCAAGACCCGTCTTGTCTCCACCAAATTTTGAAATGTTCACTTGTTCCTCAATAGCTTTTGCTCGAGCAGTCCTCATCCACTTGTGAAAGTCTTTTAGTTGATTTAATTTAATTCATACTTGATATCAGATTGTTGCCCTTCTAATTCTTCAGTCTTCTTTTCTAATTCTGAAATACCTTCCTTTAGTCTATTTTGCTCGGCAACAAGCTGATGGTTCTCTATGACAGTTTTCTTGTTGGCTTGAAGTTCTACCCACTTCCTTTGGAGAATAACTAGCTCTTCTGTTGTGTCAACCTCTGTGTCATCTTCTATATCATCGTCTGTGTCATCCTCTGCTATAACTTTAGCTTTGCATATGTGTAACTCTTTAGTGAGTTGTTCCACATTGCGTTTTGATTCATCAAGTTCATGTTTGAGACTATCATTTTCCAAATATTTTTTCTTGTTGACCCGTAGAGACTCTTGAAATTTTTCTTCAACCATTATAAGCATCTCCTTTGGATCAACGTCACCATCAGAGCCATCGTCATTACTGTAGAAAGTTGGAAAAGCACAGCATGTTCCAGCATTGTCATTAACACACTGCTTCTCTTTTTCAACGAGAATGACACGCTGCTTTTTACGTCGTAGATCTTCATGCATCTCCAACTCAATGGTTTCTAAGTTCCCCATCAGCTCATCAAGAGACATAGTATTGAGAGATTGTGTTTGTCTAATAGCTTTGACATCCATAGAGTATTTTTATGGAAGAGAACGTAGAACTTTCAACACCGACTTGTGTTCTATAATTGGTTCACCAAGCCTTTCAGCCTCATTTGCCAACTCTCTAACTCGGCCATGAAAATTTGTGATAGACTCAGCGTCCTTCATCTTAAGATTTTCAATTTTAGACATCACGATCTGAAGTTTGGTTGTCTTGACCGTTGTAGTGCCTTCATGAGTAATAAGCAAAATGTCTCAAGCTCTCTTCGCCTCTATGCAGTTTGAGATAAGACGGAACTGATTTCTGTCAACCGCTCTAAAGATTGCATTCAAAGCCTGATCATTCGATTCTGCAACATCCTTTTCTTGCTAAATCTTTCATAAGGTTTCTGAATTAGTTCTCCATCTCCATTAGTCATAGTAGGAGCTGACCACCCAATCTCTATGCTTCTCCAAACATGTCCACCAAGAGACTTGAGAAAGGCTCTCATTCGACACTTCCAAAAATATATATATATAAAATTTTAAAATTTCCGTGAGGCCACTTGACCTCATGTGACTCAACGTGGGTCCGCCCCTGATTGGTTAATTTTTCTTTGAACTGAGACTAATAAAAAGTATTGCTTCATTTGTCTCTTCATTTGTTACATGGATTAGTGAGATACAAATGAAAAAAATAAAAAATTATGATTGATATTGATTTTAAAAATTAAAATAAAGAATGTGAACCACAAAAAATTAAGAATACAATTTGACGTAAAATATTATGGCCTAGAAGAATATAAAAAGAGATTAAAAGACTAATAAAGTAGCTTAGAGTATAAAATTTCTAAATAAAAATATGATTTTTATAAAATACGGAGTAAACAATTATTTCAGCATTTTTTATTTTTCGAATCTTTCAAATTTTTTCTAATTCTTATCAGTTTTTTCCAACTCATTTCAATTTTTTTCAAGTTTCTTCCAAGTTTTTAGAGTTTTCAAGCTTCTCTCAATTTCTTCAAATTTTTCCAGTTTCTTTCAAATACTTCATATTTTTTCACTTTTTTTAAATTTCTTACGGTTTCTTCTAACATCCAACTTTAAGGGATGATTAATTTAAACATTAGTTAACGTAAGCAAGTACGTATATATGAGAGAAAATAGTAGGGTGGAATCACCCTAGCTAAAGCCTAAAGTTTAAAGTAAAAAGCCGTGATCAATTAATAAATTTTGGGATAATTCTATGAAAAAAGTTGTCATCATGGTCGTTGTGATTTTGGAATCACCCTAGCTAAAGTCTCTCTATTAATTTTTTTTCTCCATTTCGAATCATCCTAAATTTTCTTTCCCGTTTCTTATTTTGGTAAACAACTTTTAATAAATATGTTATTATACCTCCACTTTTTGAACCTCTAATATCAACATATTATCTACAGTTCTACATTATTCACTTTATTCCATTACACTAAAGACAAACATGGAAAGTCTATATACTTTTTAATTATTCTTAATCTCCGTGCCACAGAAAAGAAATTTTTCGTAATCTTCATGCCAAATTTATCATTTCACTTTCCTTTCAGATTAATAATCTTAAAAAATACTCCGTATTTTACTTCTCTACTTACATATTGAAGTAGTAAATATATGGTTCATAATTGATTCTCTCTTTTAAGTACATTTCAATTATTCATTTTTAGAAAATGTCCCTGGATAGAAGTAAAAAAATACGAAAATACCAAAATAGAAGTTTTATATCTTTTGATATCAAAATAGGAGTATAATGACAGTGTTGTAACAATCAAATGAGGTGTGTGATTGAAAAGTGATGACAATAAAATATGTTAATGTGATTAGTCAATCGTCAGTGATTTGTAGCGGCACTCTGGTGGCCTGCAACGACGGATGACACTGTGTTGATAGTGTGACCATAGTTTTCAGAATCGGACCGGTGACCGAACCGGTCAAGGTACTGGTTCACTGGTCGAACCGGTGGTTTAAACATATTTAAAAATTATACACACACACACGCACAGAGAGAGAGAGATATATGTATGTATGTATGTATGTATGTATGTATGTATGTATGTATGTATGTATGTATGTATGTATGTATGTATGTATGTATGTATGTATAACACATGCATATAGATACACACACTTTCTCATTTATAAATATCTAAAGAAAGTAATTTATAACATTTGACTAAAAGTATATTAAAATATTTGATTTATTTTACTAAGTTAAAAAATAAAATTTACATATTAGAAAAAGAATATTTAAAATTTTATAAATGAAGACTTGATTTTATTTTTTTCAAATAAGTTGTTTGATATTAAAAAAACGCTCAAATGAAATCTTTGCATGATATACATTTTGTAATAATATCAATAATATCAATAATATCAATGATTTTGTGTTTGATTCATAGCTATATAATATTATATTTTTAAAATTAAAAAGGAATTTTTATACAATCTTTTTTTAATTATGTAATATTAAAAAAGATTAAGTGAACATGTAACAAAAAACACTCTTTCTTGGATGGTTAAGAACTCAATCAAATGTCTAAGAGGTCTTAGGTTCAAATCCCCATGGTTGCATGTTTTGGAAAAAATTGCAAAAAAAGGAGAAATTGGATCGGCCGGTCGAACCGGCCGGTTCGATGCTTGTTGACCACCGGTTCGCCGGTTCACAGTCCGAACCGGCCGGTCCGGTCCGGTTTTCAAAACTATGAGTGTGACAGTTAAAATGTGATAATGTGGTGAGTATGTCAGTGCAACAATGACAGTGTGAACTCATATTTTGGTCTTAAAAAACTTGTAACTCCTATTTTGATATTTTTATAATTGTTTACTCATATAGAAGTTCTCCCTTCATTTTTTTACATTTAACATTTTATTAAATTCTATTAAATCAAACTAAGAAATTAAATTCGAGAAAGAGGGAGCACTCTTATTTCTCATCAATAAGTCTATTGGGTGGAGTGTGATCCATCACACAGATCACACCATCTTACCCAGTGTCACGTTAGTTTTTCTCTTTTTCTTCACAGCTCATCACACCAACACCACAACTCAGAGGTGTAGTTCACGTCCATCATGCTTAATTTTTTTATATTTTTAAAATATATTTAATTGAAAATAACCTAAAACAAAATCATTAAATAAATATTTCATTAAGATTCAAATTTAAAATTACATTGAAAAATGTGAAAAAAAGAAATTAGAGCGATGCAGTACGAAATTGGAAATAAAAAATAACTATTTGATAAAAATCAAAGATCCTAGCCCAAGTCGTCTGACGCACTCCCAAGCCACTTCCAGCTAATTTTGTCCTTGATTTTGTTTACACTCACGCTCTCTATATGTAGCAAATGATCAACACTTCACATAAGAATCTCGTATTCTTTGCCACTCGACTCTTGGAGTCTTCATTGCGCACAACCTTTCCTTTAGATTTCCGAGTTGGTTGGATTTAGTAAAATTGGCGTTGTCACTCGACAAATTGCAAATAATTAAGATCCATAATATGACTTTTGATAATATTTAGAGAAATTAGGCTGAGAGAATATATCGAGAGAATGTGTGAGTTTTAAAAGAGGCGAGTGGAGGTTTAAATAGGGATTTTGGAAAAAGAAAAAATGAAAAACTAGTCATTTAATGGCTAGTCTGGCGGAGGAAAAGCATCGTGGTGACCGTGATGACCATCACCTCCATCACGTTTCACGGTAAGAGGGCGATATTCCCCGCCATGGTGGACGTCTATGTGGCGCCATCTAGCCATCACGGAGCTACCACAGAGACCAGACCACAGTCTGAGAGTTACTCTTTGTTTATACGTAGTGTAAAAGTACTGATTAGGCTTTGCTCGCTTCTAGATGCTAGAAAAAATTGGAAGAAGTTGGAAACCATGTGGTCTGAGAGTTACTCTTTGTTTATACGTACTGTAAAAGTACTGATTAGGCTCTGCTCGCTTCTAGATGCTAGAAAAAATTGGAAGAAGTTGGAAAAAATTAGAAGTTACAAGAAACTTGTAGGAGTTGGAAGAAAGTGAAGAGTTGAAAAAACTGAAAGAATTATAAAAAAACTAGAATAAAGTTGGCCGAAATTGGAAGAAGTTGAAAAAAATAAAAAGTGTTCAAAAATATTAACAAATGTTGAAATAATTATTTCATTTTAAAAAATTCTTATTTTATTTAAATAGTTTATACTCTATTTTAAAATAATTTATGTATTTTTATTTTTTCGATGCCATTATATTTTATGTTAAGTCATTATGACCATCTTAAAAATAATAGAATTCTCATAACTAGAATTTGTAGACTTTGACAATTTTTTTTGAAGACTTTGACAACTTAATACGGTTATACGGAGTAAAACCGTTAAAGATATGGTCAGTTGGTCACAATGCATCCTACGATGCCATGAATATCAAATTTAATTGGAAGAACTCCTAAATAGGAAAAAAAAAGAAAAGTAATGCATAAATGGTTACAAAGTTCACATTTAAAATGTAAATTTTTTCACATTTTTCATGAACTTACATGTCATGTAGATATTTTTTCTAATTTGCAAAAGATCTACTTATTTTATGTTATAAAGGCACTAAGATCCATAAAATGAATAGGGACCTTGGATTCACGGAAGAAATTGTTGGTTTCATGGTGTTGGCTAATATTTTGGCAAAATAGAATGCCATATTTGTTAGGTGTTTTACTAGGTAGAAACCTCTATTTGTTAGGAGAGGTTTAATTTATTTAGACTTCTAGAGTTGTTGCAGTTTTCGGGGTTGACACAGAAGATGCTACAGCACGATGCTGCAACACCTTGTTCGGGATCAGATGTCTGAGCACGGGATTTTAAGCTGCAATATGAATTAGAGACCTATTGGGACTGTGATTACATGATAATAACTCCAGCTGTACATGCTAAGGAATCCCAACTCTTTAGGCTACTTGTGGATCAAGATTAAGGAAGTAGAGTTCAAGCCAACTTCTACTATCCTATTCCTACTAGGATTTTGTTAAGAGAAGCCTATAAAAACGCAGTAGGTCCGTGGTAATTAGGTGGAGCGATTGAGAGGAAAAACAAAGTATATACGCTGATGTAGAGCATTCCCGTCGCGTCCCGGAGCTTCCCATGCGTGAAGAAGGTTGCGATCTACATGAAGGAGGAGATTTTCAACGCCAAACTGATCGTGACATCCAGAAGATGAAATAGAGCTGAACGAGTGGGCTGTCAACACATTTGTCCTCGTGATCTCGGTGGAGATGTGATGGCCGAAGCGGATCTGAACAGAGTTCGGGTTAGAAATCCTAGATTAGAAGTTTTGTCATAACAATTCGGAGAAGAGTGTCTCATCATGTTGTTATGTACCGGTGTAACTTGCATCTAGTGATTTATTGGAGGGCTATTACACGGACGTGGGCCCCGCAGACTAGGAGAGTTTCTCTGAACTGCGTAAACATATCTGGTATCATTTTTTTTCGCATTTTTATAGTTACAGCATTCTGTCCAGTAGGCGCTGTAACACCCTCTGCATTATCTGCTTCTGTCTGTGTGTGCTTGTGACAGAGAAGTGTTATAGCACCCTGTCCGTCATCTGTTACTGTGAAAGTGCTACAACATATTTTCTACAACATAGTTGATTGTTTTGTTTGCATAGTTCTTAATTGGTGATTTCCGCTGCGCCCCCACGAACTTTCAGAAATGCCCTAAAATGATATGTAAATATTTAAATTAAGAGAACCATTATATCATAACCTATTTACTGCCTAAGCTAAGAGTTTACACTCTCATTATGAACACCACTACAAGAATATAGTTTGCTGATTTTGCTACGAAAAATCTCTGTCGCAAAAGGCTCCATTTGGTCGTGGAACGAAGAATTGTGACCACAGTGTGTAACACCCCCGAAAAACCGACTTAGTAGTTAGCCATTATTTTAATAAAAATAAATATAATATTTTTGACAAAAAATATAAACTATTTGTAAAGTCAACCTTTTTATTTAAAAATTATATAATTAGGTAGATCTCGTAAAAAGGTGACCAACTGTAACGCCCCAAAATATACCCTAGAATTATTAATGAAAAAAAATAATCAATTAATCAAATTTGTTTTGACTAAAATAAATTATTGTTGGGCTTTGGGTCGATACGAAATTTGTTTTGACATCTAATATCAAAATCTGGATAAGTCTCATAGAGATAAATCCAATATGTGGACTATTTGTGTGGTTTCGATTGGGAACCTGAGTACAGACCCAAAACAAGAGTAAATAAAGAATTTGTTTAGAATGTAAATATTGAAATGATTTGTTGAAATAAATCATAAGAATAATTGATATGAATTAAATGAGAGAACCTTTTATGAGAAAGGTCAATTAAACCAATTTTGACTCTGTTAAGGTCAAACACCCAAAAATGTGGTGTCGGGAAAAGTATAACGAATGAATATAAAAATTATATCGTTGAATAGAGTTCGATTGTCTGATCGCAACGGTGCAAACGGATTTCAATTCGGAGAAAGTTGGACCGAAAAGTGTACCCCAACTGGACCAAAAATTAGTCCCAATCAGAGAGTAACGTGCTGAGTCTCCTTAAGTCGCACTATCGCCGAAAGAAGAACGTGAAGTTCCTACGCAGCATCTACTCAGACTTTGTTTCCTTCTTCTTCATCTTCCCTATAAAAGGAGAAGCTAACTCCCTCATTCCTTCACCATTCTCCTTCAAATAAACTCGGAGAGAAAGCTGTGAGTGTGGAGAACGAAGTTGTGCTGTCAATTTGGTGTGAAGTCGCCGGAGCAAGCCACAAACTTCGCCGGAAAATATTCAAAACGTTCATTTACCTTCGAGGTAAGCCCGTAGATATATCTAATGACTAGAATGTTCATATAGGTCGTTTCTACGTTCATAAATGGTCATTTGGTTGAGTTTTGTGTTTGACATGTTTGAAGAACCAAGAATCATAAACCTTGAATTTGATGTTAAAAATATGTTTTAATAATTCTAATATGATCTATGAACCTTGGAGAACA